TAATTTATGAAGGTATAATTTACACATTTGAGAATTTTATGGTCACTTGAGGCAGATCTTGATTCTGGTCTATCAATTTCGGAGATAGTTCATTGCTGGTTTAGTCATGAATAGACCCAGGCTTGTTTAAGCCCCTTACTGATTACTTTGGTTTAGTCGTGAATAGATTCAGGCTTGTTTGAGCCCCCTTCTGATCAATTTGGCTTGATAATGACCATATCCAGGCTTGTTTACCACACTCCTGATTACTTTGGTTTAGCCATGACAATATCCAGGCTTGTTTTTGCCCCTACTAATTACTTTGATTTAGTCATAAATAGACCCAGGCTTGATTGAGCCCCCTACCGATTACCTTGGTTTAATCGTGAATAGATCCAGGCTTGTTTGAGCCCCTTCTGATTACTTTGGTTTAATCATGAAAAGATCCAGGCTTGTTTGAGCTCCCCACTGATTACTTTGGTTTAGTCATAAATAGATCCAGGCTTGTTTGAGCCCCCTACTGATTACCATGGTTTAGTCGTGAATAGATCCAGACTTGTTTGAGCCCCTACTGATTTTTTTGGTTTAGTCAGGAAAAGATCCAGGCTTGTTTGAGCCCCCTTCTAATTACTTTGGTTTAGCCATGAAAAGATCCAGGCTTGTTTGAGCTCCCTACTGATTAATTTGGCTTGATAATGACAAGATCCAGGCTTGCTTACCCCACTCCTGATTACTTTGGTTTAGCCATGACAAGATCCAGGCTTGTTTTTGCCCCTACTAATAACTTAAGTTTAGTAATAATTGAAACCCAGGCTTGATTGAGCCCCCTACCGATTACCTTGGTTTAGTCGTGAATAGATCCATGCTTGTTTGAGCTCCCCACTGATTACTTTGGTTTGGTCATTAATAGATCCAGGCTTGTTTGAGCCCCCTACTGATTACCATGGTTTAGTCATGAATAGATCCAGGCTTGTTTGAGCCCCCTACTGCTTATTTTGGTTTAGTCAGGAAAAGATCCAGGCTTGTTTGAGCCCCCTACTAATTACTTTGGTTTATAGCCATGAAAAGATCCAGGCTTGTTTGAGCTCCCCTACTGATTACTTTTGTTTAGTCATGAAAACATCCAGGCTTGTTTGAGCCCCTACTGATTACTTTAGTTTAGTCGTGAATAGATTCAGGCTTGTTTGAGGCCCCTTCTGATTAATTTGGCTTGATAATGACAATATCCAGGCTTGTTTAACCCACTCCTGATTACTTTGGTTTAGCCATGACAAGATCCAGGCTTGTTTTTGCCCCTACTAATTACTTTGGTTTAGTCATAAATAGACCCAGGCTTGATTGAGCCCCCTACCGATTACCTTGGTTTAATCGTGAATAGATCCAGGCTTGTTTGAGCCCCTTCTGATCACTTTGGTTTAATCATGAAAAGATCCAGGCTTGTTTGAGCTCCCCACTGATTACTTTGGTTTAGTCATTAATAGATCCAGGCTTGTTTGAGCCCCCTACTGATTACCATGGTTTAGTCATGAAAAGATCCAGGCTTGTTTGAGCCCCTACTAATTACTTTGGTTTAGCCATGAAAAGATCCAGGCTTGTTTGAGCTCCCCTACTGATTACTTTTGTTTAGTCATGAATACATCCAGGCTTGTTTGAGCCCCTACTGATTACTTTGGTTTAGTCATGAAAAGATCCAGGCTTGTTTGAGGCCTTACTGAATATTACTTTGGTTTAGTCTTTAATAGATCCATGCTTGTTTGAGGCCCCGACTGAATACTTTGGTTTAGTGATTAATAGATCCAGACTTGTTTGAGGCATTACTGAATATTACTTTGGTTTAGTCATTAATAGATCCACCATACCGAAGATTGTCTTTCCAATATCTTAACATAGAATGTAGGAACCACTTATCCCCAACTTGTAAATCAGATATCTGTTTTGAACAGCAGATTCAAAATGGTCGTGGTATATATTGATTGTGCATGTCCTATTTTATTTTTGAATCAGTATAATTTCTGGATATCCCTACAGCAATGCACGTGATTACCCCATATCTTTTCTTTTTTATTATAATAACGGAGTTTGTCTCTCTAGTGCTGTGTGAAGGCCGTAGAAAGTTTCCCATGCTTGAGGTGTATCCTCTAATGTTTTATTTTACTGGCGTATTTATTCTTGAGATAACTTCTCTTATGTGTGCTACATCATTCTCTCAATTGTAGGCCAGTTTGTGTACTAAAATTTAAATAAGACGCACCAGGATCACCTGTCCTTCACCTTTTATTTGATACCTAAATTACCAAATTTATTCTACATAATTTTATATTTACACCTATGCGTAGGAACTATTTTGTTTTTTAATATGTATAACTTTCCAGTATGTTCTTTTTGACCAGGCTCGAGTTGCTGGTGTTACATCTTACAAAGTTCTACCCGACCAATGATGGACATCAGGGGTGAAGGGCGGGAAATTGTGACTGCCAATGCAAACAACTTTATTGGTTAGGGACAGAAATTTGCCTTGCAAAAGACCACTTCCGGCCCTCAGAGTTATTGCAAATGCCCTTTGACGCACAGAGAGCATGGCACTATATCTACACGAGGCATCGTATTTAGCGTCCCTATTCTGACCGGACGTGGCTTCGTATTTATACATCCAACCAGCCAAACTAACGCCTAAATTTGACAAGGATTTTACTGCTGGTCGGAAGAAGACCAATGTGACCATATTTCTATATCCAAGTCGCTTTTAGAGTGTTTAAAGAAAAAGCGAGGCAATGTACATATCTTCATGAAAGTTTTTTCATTAAGTTATTCTTATTTTCTCCATATCCGTTGATGGGTGGATGGATGGATGGATTAGTGTTAAACATCCAATTACAAATATTGCTTGAATATCAGGACAAGAACATGATGCTGTGATATGAATATGAACCAGGGCTTTGTACTAGACCTACTTTGTACTATATACTCTCTGAATGTTAACGCGCTAGTTCGCGTATAACAGTCAACAGAAAAACATGTCGCTCTACCAGGACACGTTATTCAGACTACGAGCCGACCAGTCTTTGCTCGTAATCTTAAATGCAATGTGCTTAGTGGTGTCCAATAACAAAAATATATCAACAAATTTTATGGTTATTCAGGACTCTTAAGTATTGTGTTATATAACTATTTTGCTTTTATATCAAATGTTATGGGTTTTTTAGAAAAAAAAATCCAGAACCAATATAACTGGGCTTGGTGGTCTTATGGTAGCGTGCTCGCCCTTAGTGCGGAAGTTTGTGGGTTCGATTCAAGACATGGTTAGATTAAAGACATTAAAAACCTAAGATCTTTCTGTATACGGACATGGATAGTATATTGCACATTATTGCTAGTAAACAAACAAAACTTTACGCCAACGTTAATACTTTTAGTCAAATAGACAGTAAATACGAAAAACAAATAAAATGACAATGATTTAAAAATAAATCATATCCGCTAACCGAGTTCCTGTGTGAGCAAGTGGCATTTAGGAGTAAGGGTAAAGGCTGATCAGTTCAGAGTAAGAAATTCATATGGATTTTAAACTGAACAAGCATGTTAAAAATCCGGTTTAGCATGTCGGCTTAGTATAAAATCATATCACATTATCATGTACTCCTTCTGAAAATGCACCTTATATAGTTTCCTCTGTTCAATTTTGCATTTGAATTAATTTTCCTTCTGAAAGTACATTTTAGTGCATAGCTTTAATTCCGATACAATATATGTCGAAAAGCTTATGACATTCTTGTTCCTTTTTATCTCGCCTGCGACGAAAGTAGGTTAAGGTCCAGCGACTTTCAATTTATTACCAATTTTCAATGTTAGTTTGATAGGAACTACTTATGATAGATTAATGATATTTCTATATAAAGTTGCAATACTATCAGTACTATTTCGAGGTCCTGCCCCCGTAGGCCATGGCCCAATGACTTTCAATGGATTATCAATTTCCAATGTTAAGTTTTCTGCTTAAATAAGTTTGATAGGAACTACTTATGATAGACAATGACAATGATATTGTCTATCAAGTTGCATTACTATCAGTACATCTCAGTTTGAAGATCATTTTGACGCGCTGCTCTCTATATCATGATCCAGCAACTTTGAATTAATTAGCAATGTTGCTGTCCATCAGATGGTCTTTTTCTGAATTTTCTGCCGGAGGCGAGTCTTATATCTGTGTCAACAGGTTTTTGTATAAATACTCAGGATTTGCCAAAATCTTTCAAAATTGATGTGTTGGAAATTTTAACACATTCTTAATGTTGACTGCTGTACCCCTATTTTTGACATTTTTACCTATTATGTCTGTTTGTTTTGTTCACACATTGTTGTCAATATAATGGAATTTTATGCGACTGTCATACATGTGAGAAGTTTAGCTAGCTATAAAACCAGGTTTAATCCACCATTTTCTACATAAGGAAATGCCTGTACCAAGTCAGGAATACGACAGTTGTTTTCCGTTCGTTTGATGTGTATAAGCTTTTGATTTTGCCATTTGATAAGGGACTTTCCGTTTTGAATTTTCCTTAGAGTTCGGTATTTTTGTTATTTTACTTTTTAATTTGGTAACAAGTTCAAAAATACAAGTTAATGTTGTTACAACTTCAAAGTACAGAAATGAGGCTGTGATACTTTAATTTCATTGAATATGGCCCTTGAGGGAAACATTAATTTAAGTCTACTTCTCATCGAGTTATATTGTTTGATGATAGTTAACATACAATTCATATTGAGTTAAAAAAAATATTTGGTGCAAAGAGTTTTCTGTGTGTAGCATCGTTGTAAGAGCAATGAACATTGTTTTCGTCGGTTTTATCTATAAATAGATCAATATCAATTAAAAATATATTGTCTTCGTCCTGAATAGACGTGGCTTCTTCTTTGCTTGAAGACGCTAAGCAAACAAGAATCATCAATACCTTGAGATACGAGAAAAGAATGGTGTATTATATAACATTTAAGATAATATCAAGAATATGAAAATCATGGCATGCTATATCTTTGTTTATTGAAACAAACAGGCAGGTACGAAAATAGTTTTATGAAAGACATATTATACTGCTTTGTTATACAGTGATGATAAGTAATTATGTATATATGTATGTATTGAGAGAGATAACTTATTACTAAAGCTCTCTCTATTACCAGTGACAGACGATAAAATTTAAAATTCTCTCTACTTTTTTTCGCCACCTCTCCAGTAAGCGCTTTTTGAAGTGTCTTGTTTGCCTGCAGCCATGAATGGCTTTTGATGTACTTGTTTAGCAGGAGAATTTGATGTCTGACGTCTAGAGCGATTATTTGGTTCAGATGGTTGTAAAGCTAGAACATTATGTTGATTGTCCTGTTGGTTCATCCTATTCTCTAGTTTCTCTAGTTGTTCTTTCATCATGACTAGCGTGGCTTGTTGTAGATTAATCTGTTGCTGTTGTGTATCTATTATCTTTTCAGTGTGTTCTTTATTTGATGCAAGTCTTGCTATATTATCTGATTGGCCAGACATTATTTTTTCAAGTTTAACTTGACCGTCAGCTAATCTAGCGTGGTCATTGGCTAACTGGTCAATTACTGCTAGTCTATCGTTAATTAAAGATTCTTGTTCACAGATTTTTTTACTTTGTGCTTCTATTGTATCCTTCAAATATTTGATTTCTTCGTTCCGTTTTTCTAGTTCCTCCTGTAGTTCACGTTTGTCAGTGTTCATTTTACGCATCTCTTCGTTTTCAATTTGAAGCTTTTGAATCCTTTCATGGTATTTATTGTTCGTTTCTTTTAATTTAACCATCGCTTTTTGTAATTCTCTATATCTCTTAGTCATTTCCACTAAGTCTTCATCTCGTAGACGTAGTTTTTCTTGAAGGCTAACCTTTTCGTGCCTTTCTTTAATCAGAGCCTCTCTAGCATTGTCGAGAGAGGCCATTACTTCCTGTAGTTGTATTTCTAACTCTTCCTGTCTGGTGATTATGGCACTGAACTCCCGGTGAGATGCTTTAGCGTCCTTTGATAGTGTGTTGATTGCCATCCTGACACCTTGAATGGATAATGGATCTGTTTTTGATGCTTGACTACTATGAACTGTACTGCGGTCCTAGAACAAAAATAAAAATGTCTTGATTTGAACAGCCATATACTCGTGTGATGTATAGGTTAATTTGAAATTTTGATTCATGAAATTCAATAAAGAAACAATTTGTAGATTTAACCATATTCTTCCCAAACATAAATTGAGGCATACTCGATGTGTTCTCATTTCACTTTTATATCAATGGCAAAAGTGAAATAGAGGATCCAACGACCATGAATTACTCTGGTTGAAAATAAATTAACAACATGTATAGTAACAAGTGGGTTATTTGGTGAATGAGATGTTAAAAGTAGAACAATAATGGGTACTTAAATGGTAATGGTCACATTGGAACAAAAAACTACAAATTTTCAATTTCAAGATTATAAGATGAAAATGCCATTTCAGACAAGATAACACTGGTAGATATGTAATACCACTGTCGCAACGTTTGTTCAAAAGATAGATGATAAATCTGTATCCTTTGTAATTGATCTTCTTAATATCATCAATCATGTAAAATTTCAAACAATTTGGACTTGCGGCTTTAGAGGAAATGGCCGTCACATTTCTCATCTCATCGGAATCACATGAAAATCCATTGTAGAGTTCTTTCCGTACATAATCCTTGATAACTTTGCTTAAATTTTACTTATTAGTTTCAGCTGGGACTAATAGATAATCAATGTATTAGTCCCAGGTTTCAGAGAAGTTGAAAATGCGACTTTCGATAGAGCTTAAATGGAAAATATGTGCTACTAATGCCGCCATGTTTAACATTCGACCAACATTAAACGAAGACGATTTTTAGATTGTCCCAAAATCATCAATCCTGTAAAGTTAAAAAAAAAAACAATTCGCCTTGTAGTTTTAAAGAGGACGAATTTTTAAAATTTGACAATTGGAATTCAAATATTGCCTCTGATAGCCATGTTTTTCGCATGATCAGGACCAAACGGGGACTGTCAAAATATTCCTATAACTTTATTTCACATAAAATAGTGGGTTTTAGAGAAGATGAAAATGTGATTTAAAACAGAGCTTGAATAGAAAGTTTGTGCCATCGATGCCACATTGTTTGCTATCTGGTCTACATTATAAGAGGATTTTTTGTAGAAAGTGTCCCAATAGTTTATTCTGTAAGGTGTCAGTATATTTCGCCTTGTAGTTTCAGAGAAGAAGACTTTGAAAATTGGTCAATCAGAATCAAAGATTATATACCTTGCGGCAATGTTTTCCGTCAGATCTGAACCAAACAATGATTGTTTGTAGAGGACCTTCCATACGTAATTCCTACCAAGTTTATTTCACACTGTCTTATCGGTTTCAAAGTAGACGATGAAAATGGGATTTTTCATAAAGTTTCAATGGGAATTATGTGTCCCCAATGCCATCATAATTGCCATCCGATTAACAACAAATGAGGAAATTTTCTAGAGGGTCTCCCAATCATCAAACTTGTAAAATGTAAAAACATTTCGCCTTCTTCATAAAAGATTTTTTTTTAATTGGCCATTCAGAATCAACGATTGCCTCTGACGATAATGTTTTTTGTCTGACCAGAACCAAATGAGTATAAATTGTACAGGTCCAAGATATTTTAATTCTTATAAAACTAATGTCCCAACGCACTCATTTAAGGTTTTGGCTATTCTTCTAAAGCTTAGTCCTGACTATGCAGGAAGCATATTTTACAGGAAAATAAACAATCAACAATTAATCAGTTGATCTTTTGAAATCCTATTTGGTGACTTTAATAGAAATCTACATATTTTATACTATGGCTTTCTATACTTTTTAATACAAACATTTTGTACTTAGAAAAGTCAGTATGATTGACTTTGATTATGTAAATCTAAATAAAAAGAGATGCTGGTGTGCATCCATGAAACAGCAACTCAACACTATCTGAAAGTTAAAGAACTTCAATATTTTACTTTACTTTAGTTAAAATCCCAATAGTAATCGCTAAGAGTCTATGCTAGTTGTATTTATATTTAACAGAGAAAACCAAATATTTACCATTAACACAACATTGTGTATTCTACCTGAAATACAATTGTTACTCAATTCAAAGTCAATTATATTTGTTAGAAAATCATTGAACGAAAAAAGAGAGTTAATCAACAATGCATTTTTAATTATCATTCATCGTTGAAGACTTCCCAGAGGGTTTATATGTTCATACATGTTTTGAAAGATACTAACTTTTGAAGATAGCATATATCGCTTTGGTTGAACTAACTGTAAATCTGAAATATAGATTAGAAAAGTTAATATAATAATGATTCTAAAGGAATAGCAAATCATCTTTAGAACAAACTTTTCCGTTTTCAAACATTAAATGGATGAAATAGATAGCAAATGGAAATTCATAACGTCTAATAATGCTGTAACTTTTTGCAATGAAAAATAAGAAAACTATTAGAGATAAGTTTTCGCTTAGATTTGAGAGTGTAAAGTTGAATGATGATGTCTATGTTCGTATGCATCTTTTGACTTATTTTTAACTTATGGATCTCGTTACTGACCTCAAAAGGCAGAAGAGATACAAACATATATAATTTGTTTATTTTGCTCTTCCCAGTCTGCAGAATGCACATACTGATGTGTCCTGAATCTACCCTTTCTTCTATAATCATGCATTTTCATAAAACTTGTGGGGGTTTCACATGTGACAGAATTATGAGGATTGTTGCAGGATTAACAAATAAATACTGTTCACTCATTAAAAAACAGTGCCCGATGGCTTTGCAGGGTCAAACTTTTGTCGTTTAAAAATGCTCACAATTTGACGAAATCTATCAAAATTTTAGTTGTTAGTTATCTTTTATCATTATAGATAATTTCGAGTTGAAAGATATGACATAATACTTTGAGAATCCCTAAGTTTACACACATGAATCTTTGGTATTTAAAATTTTATCCAAGATTTAAGATATATTGAAAATAGCCCGGTTTGAAATAAGTTTAGGAGAAATGTCTCTACTTCTCTCACAAAATAGTTAGTTAGTTCGGCTAAGATATAGTTTGCATGCAATTAGTGAAGCGAATTTCAGTAATACTCCATATAACTCTTTGAGGACAGTAGTTAATAATAATCACAAACTATATTATACAAATTTGTTCATGCACATTTGTATACATAATGGGTACAGTGTAAAAAGAAACACCTGATGTTATTATGCAGTGGAGTTTTCAATGACCCTTTGTTTGATTGAGTTTAACATCATTATTTAAATATTTGTACACATTCATAATAATCATGTAATTGGTGAAGGAAGCAGAATTTTCGGGGATAGGCCCAAATCTGCTTGACAGCCCTAGGTCTCTTAAAACGATTGGAGCGAGTTTCCAGCCCATACCGTAGTGATGCTATTAAAAAGATCCACTGACTTTACCATTTTCAATGTATCTTATGTAAATAAAAACAGTAAATTAGAGGTGTCGTGTTTTTTTAAACTTTTTAACCAGTAGCTATTAAAAAGGGACTAGACCTTTAGATAAATATATAGATATTGGCTGCGGTAGTTGCAATCTTCAAAATTTGCTCAGGATTTACATAAAAGTATACTAATTAACTCACGGCAAAACCGAAGCACGGACCGCAGGACGGATGATCAACATGTAAGTTCACCAGCAATGGTACAAACCTAGTGGCAGTAAATGTACCGTTTTGTTTGCTGCCTTCGATATACCTTTCTCGATTTATCTTGTTCAGCCAATCGTTAGCAAGACATAGATGTAATGATAATCATTCAACGCTTTTGCAAAGTTTTCATTTTTTTCTCACGAGTTATGTATACTAGATTATGTTCTATCCAATGAATAATGAAGATATGCATACTCTTAGGACGCCTCATTCTAATGTGTGTTAAAGTGGTATGTGTTGTATTATCATATACTTATATGAACTATATTACTTAATTCAATTATCAAATATCTTTATGTAGATTAATGTTTATACTTGTTTATGATCCCCTTATTATCGAATATTATAATGTTAAACGTATGAATCTCTACATTATTATAGATGAAATTATGAAAGGAAAATTGACAATGAGGATCATACTATAAAGTCTAGGATCTAAGTCTACGGCTTATGTGTCCACAATATCTTGTAACCATGGTCAAAGTAAGTTTCTCAAATGTTTTTGATTAGACCATTGGTTTCCTAATTTTTCTTTGACCAAATTGCTCAAATTTCATGCAAGTCTTTATTTTTATTTTATAAATCACATGATGAACGGATATCCAAACAACTTTAGGTCCTTTTACTAATCTGACGGGCATATTTTAAATTTCAGTGCTTGACCTCTATCCATATTTAACTCTTGATCTTGCCCTTTTTCTGAGGTTGTTGTAACCGCCTTTGGACATAGCATGTCGTAGACTTAGAACCTCTACTTAGGTTGATAACATATTAGCATAATGTAATAACATTTGATTTATAATAATCCTACCTTTATCAGCTGTAAAAGTAAAACATCATATTAATAGTTTTAAAATAAAACCTTTAATGGTGGAATAATGATGCCAAATTACATGTAAAATACTGTACTATAGGAATTGGTCATACGACTAAAGGTTTATTAATCAGATTAGGATTCTCAGCACTTTAATGGAAGAATCGGGTATTTGGGAAAAAAATATATACAACGTAATATTTGATCTAACCAGGCTATAGAAGGTATGCCAAATATGAACAATGGTTATCATTACAATCTTACTGTTTTTTTTCTATATTTTGTTAAATCTTCTTGTTCTTTCCTTATATTAGTTTACTTAGTTCACGAGACAATTGTTATTTCAACAAGATTTAATTACATGAATTAGGGAAGTTTGACATGTTGTAAAACCCAGACCAACCTACTGCTCTCGTATATGAATTTCCTAAACAGGTCAGGAATGTGACAGTTAATCGTACCATTAGTTCAAATATAATCGTTTTAGTGGGTTTTTTTCGATATTGGTCAGTATTTATTGACATTGATCTTTTAAAGGAATATTCCAACTTGAAGTAGCTATTTACATGATTTTGTGGAATATGCCTTGATATAAAAATAAGGAGATGTGGTATGATTGCCAATGAGACAACTATCCAACAAAGTTAAAAATAAAGTGGATGTAAGCAATTATAGGTAACCGTACGACCTTCAACAATGAGAAAATGCCATACCGTATAGTCGGCTATAAAAGGCCCCGACATAAAAAATAGGAAAACAATTCAATTGATAAAACTAACGGCCTAATTTATAACAAAACAATTTACGAAAAATAGACATGACAGACATGAACCAACGACAACCACTGAACTACAGGCTCCTGACTTGGGACAGGCTTGAGGTTATTTACAAGATTTTGTGAAATATGCCTTGAGGTTATTTACATGATTTTGTGGAATATGCCTTGAGGTAATTTACAAGATTTTGTGGAATATGCCTTGAATTTAGATACAAATATCATTCCTTGTTACATTGTACTTATACTTTAAACAGCGATACTATCAAATGCAAAACTTTGAAATATAAAGATGTACATGTACTTACATTTATCGGATTCTTCGTCGTCTGCCTTTAACGATTCCACAATATGTCCGTACCCACAATCTCTTAAAACTTCACATATAGTTGTATAAGAATTAGGACCCGAAACCATCACAGTTCCAAGGCATAGTTCTATTTTTTCTCGGTAATTGTACAATTGTAAAATAACGTCTTTCTCGTCTGGAGATAAAGCTCCTCTATCTTCTAATGTGTCAGCAATGATTTGCAAATTTATTTCTTCATTTAAAGTTAGTAGGTATCTGTAATTTAAATTTTAATTGTTTTTAAATTCTTGACAAAATGCCTCCGCAAAATCTGTCAATCTACGATTCAATTGTTTTTGTAGATTTATTTAGTTTAATTGCTATATTTAAGATTGAAATATACTTGATAAGTTTGTACACTAAAACTGTATACTTATTTGTTCATCAAGTTAAATAACCATATCTTAATATTGGGTAGTTCCATTCTTCAAATATAAAGAGGAAAAGTAACTGTCACCAACGAAAATATTGAATAAGTTGATCGTTTCTTCAATTTGTATCACATTTTGAAGTTATGGAAGAATGAAGAAAAATCCTTCTCTATCAAATTTAGAAGGATTGCGATAAAAGATAATTTTTTCTTTCTTAGTGAGACCAACCTCCTTACTCCAAATGAGTTGACATTCCTCCCCTCTTCGATATACGAACATAGATAATGGCATGTGGAAAAGATGAACTGTTTGAGGATAGTATTTGAGTGTTTGGTTCGGCTTAAGGGCAAAATATAGAAACTCTTAATATTCAAACTTTATTTGATGTCTCCTTTAGATCAACGTGTTCTGATTACCTCTGGTCAGCTTCATATTTACTTTTGGTGTGAAATTAAACACAATCATTCTAACGTATTTTCCTCCTGCTGAAACTAATTTTACCACGTAGTTCTGAAGCTGTAACCTTAATTCATGACATAATTATTAGATATGAGATTCCGTAACAACTCTGTTACATATAAAATAGAAAATCTGAATGCAAAGGATAACAAATCACAAACGAGACGAAACAGAACTCTTAAACAGAAGCGTAGTACTTCGAAAATATTGCTAGATGATCATTGCAATCTTGTATTGATTCCTTGGAAAGTCAATAAAAAGAGCATCTTCAGAAAATCATGGTGTCATACTTTAGGAGATTTTAACATATAAACTGCGTAGACAAAATACATTCATTGGGCATCAGAAAGAGAAAAAATAAATCTGCAACATATTCATACTACAGATGCAGACCATATTCATACAACAGATATAGACCATATTTATACAACAGATATAGACCATATGTATACAACAGTTGTAGACCATATTTATACAACAGATATAGACCATATTTATACAACAGATATAGACCATATGTATACAACAGATATAGACCATATGTATACAACAGATGTAGACCATATGTATACAACAGATATAGACCATATTTATACAACAGATATAGACCATATGTATACAACAGATATAGACCATATGTATACAATAGATATAGACCATAGGTATACAACAGATATAGACCATATGTATACAACAGATATAGACCATATTTATACAACAGATGTAGACCATATGTATACAACAGATGTAGACCATATTTATACAACAGATATAGACCATATGTATACAACAGATGTAGACCATATGTATACAACAGATGTAGACCATATGTATACAACAGATGTAGACCATATGTATACAACAGATATAGACCATATGTATACAACAGATATAGACCATATGTATACAACAGATATAGACCATATGTATACAACTGATATAGACCATATGTATACAACAGATATAGACCATATGTATACAACTGATATAGACCATATGTATACAACTGATATAGACTATATGTATACAACAGATATAGACCATATGTATACAACAGATATAGACCATATTTATACAACAGATATAGACCATATGTATACAACAGATATAGACCATATGTATACAACAGATATAGACCATATGTATACAACAGATATAGACCATATGTATACAACAGATATAGACCATATGTATACAACTGATATAGACCATATGTATACAACTGATATAGACCATATGTATACAACTGATATAGACCATATGTATACAACAGATATAGACCATATGTATACAACAGATATAGACCATATGTATACAACAGATAAAGACCATATGTATACAACAGATATAGACCATATGTATACAACTGATGTAGACCATATGTATACAACAGATATAGACCATATGTTTACAACAGATATAGACCATATGTATACAACAGATATAGACCATATTTATACAACAGTTGTAGACCATATTTATACAATAGTTGTAGACCATATTCATACAACAGTTGTAGACCATATTCATACTACAGATGCAGACCATATTTATACTACAGATGTAGATTAATTTATGGAAGTTATTGTACTTAATTGTGCTGTTAATGATCACTATCTGACCTGTATAAATAACAAGCTTTGGAAGCTAAAACAAGGACTTTGGCCGACAAACTTTAATAGTACTCAATACCAAAGAGAATATATATTTATAAAATCGGAGATATGTTATACTCATAGAATATGGCGTTACAAAGTTTCATTCTTAGAGGAACAAGCGAAGATTTTTTTAAAAATGCTATATCAAATTGTACAGATGTTAAAACGTATTGGTATGTTTAGCTAATTCTAGAAATATTTTAATGTATTTAGAATTTAAAAAAATGCTATTGAAAGTTTTATTGACCAAGCGAAATTAATCCAATGAACAAGATTGTGTAGTGTCTCATCAACGTACTGACGCAAAGAGGAGGTTTGACCAGGATGCCATGCTAATAAATAAAGATTTACCTTATTAGACATCTTCACCATAAGCCGAAACCAAACCGAGACTGACACCGAAACCAAGTATAGTTGAGCGAGTTGAAATTATCATACATGTGTAAATATTAGTGTTATTAAGTTTTAATGAACTCAACCCGTATATTTATTTATATTTTTTCAAAACCCGACAATATCACACCGATTATTACATGTGTTATATTAAAATTTTGTATTTGGCAATTCACAATTTTACTATAACAACGTTTGTTATTACCAAAGACAAAATTATGATAAAACACATGAAAGATCAATTCACATGATTCTATTAGAAATAATGAAGATTTTTTTTTTAATTTATTGAATACACTAATTAAGTGATATACAATTCATGATATATCAGTATAAATTTAGTTATGATGCGCATTAATTGTGAAGAATGTTTCGCCGAAGGGACAGTGCTGCACGTAGTTATACACATTGTGTAATATCGCTTATGATTTTAAACATTGTGTAATATCGCTTATGATTTATACACATTGTGTAATATCGCTTATGATTTATACACATTGTGTAATATCGCTTATGATTTTAAACATTTCCGTTCGTCAAATGAGGTTTCTACTTTAATTATTCTTTTTTTTAAGTCTTTTCGTTGATAAGTTTGCGTTGATCGTGATAATGGCATGCAAAAACCTAACCTTCTTGAAGTCTGGGGTAAAACAATGGGGTTTTCAGCTAGATAAATTGTGTTAACAAGCAAGTAACAATATTGAGGGAATGGTAATGTTTCCTCTAGAGATATGGTCTGCATCAATCTGTGTAAGTCATAATTGTAACCTTGGAAACCATATTTCAGATATGTTATTTCTATCTAGGTAACTTCTATTACATGAATAAATGCAATGTATGTTTTGATGTCCTGTATAAAACAATGCCTGGTTTCAATATTTTCTATTGGGGTACAATCAATAGATCTAAATAAACTCTTCATAGATACCAGGATTGAAATTTCTACACCAGACGCGCGTTTTGTCTACAAAAGACTCATCAGTGACGCGCGAGTAAAATAGTTAAAAAGGCCAAATAAATTACGAAGTTAATGAGCATTGAGGCTATAAAATTCCGAAAGGTTTTACCAAATATAGCTAAAGTAATCTATTCCTAGGGTTTCTTCAAAAGCATGTCAATCTTCTTTTATATTTCGTCATTCTAAGCAGAGGGCAATGTAATAATCGATTTTAAAAAGCTGACGAATAATTGACCAAATTTGGTGGATAGCTTTACATTCAGGAATATGACAGTTGTTTTCCATTCATTCCGTTGGTTGATATAGTCAAGCCTTTGATTTTGTCAGGTTTAATGGACTTCTCCCTTTTTGAATTTACCTTGGAGTTCTGTATGTTTGTTAATACTCTTTTATACCCTCAAGTTTTTTTAACATCAAACATCGAAGATAGTTGTTGAAACGGAGAGTAACATCTTAACAGGCTTCAAAAGATCACTTTGCCAACTTCTAAGACCTGCTGCCTTATTTATTAGTCGTGTCTTCTTAAGCGCTTTCGTGAGGATGCATTATATTTCATTACAACTATCATTTACTTCGGTGGTATTTCCGAACAAGTGAAATTTGTGTGCTGGGTCTTTAGATTTGATAATTTCTTTTTGGCCTCTTTCAATGATATAGCCTTTCACATGTTTTACCTCTCAAATCCAGGTACATATAAGCATTGGTTTTGACTTTTTGTTTAATCTGATCGTTCCTGATGAAGGCAAAAAAGCGGTTAGCACGCAACAAATTTACGAAGTGCTATTAGTTTTCCTTGTAACGGTTAAGTAATTTGATGTTAATTCAGGTTATATTAGATACGTAAACGAAAATCGGATATCTAAGATCTGGCTTCCTTTGTGACTAAAATGGCGTGCTGACTTACTAATCAATGGACGCCATAGGTCTAGACGAGGCATGAACGTTTCCTCGTGTTTGTCCCTTGCTTGTTAGATCTAACACCACATATCTACTTGAACACCAAATCGTTACACCATATACCTTGAGACGGCTAAACTACCAAAATTAAATATTCCGCGATCAACCCAAGCTAAAAAATGTCAACATAAGATCCGAGCAAGAAGAGTGTATGTAGGATATCCCAAGGTTAAAAGGGTAACTATATGCATCACAGTCCCTTCGACGAAACATGCTTAATGATAAATGTATATACTATATAAATTCATATCGACATCTTAAATTTGATTTAACTTGTACCAGTGTATTCAATAGCGTTTGAATTAATCTTCACTTTTAAATAGATCATGGGAATTGGTGCGTCAAGTTATATAATACGTTCAGATTTATAACAATATAAATGAATATGCTGATTGAGTTTACACTGACATTTACTCGGGAGAATATCAACCCACTCAAATATCCCGGGATTCGGTTTCGGTATCGGTTTCGGTATTGGTTTTGGTTTCAGCTTATGGCGAAGATGTGTTCACCTATGGATAATACGTATCATTTATTTATTGCATTCTTTCATTGTTTGATTATAGTTGCTCTCTACTGTAGATATTTGTAAAGTGGAAATGGTAAGCTTCATAAATTACTGAAGAAATAGTCAAGCGCAATAGTTGAAGCTGACATAATGACATCATCTCCCTTTTTAAAAAGACTGTTTAATTGTTGAAATTTCATTTAGCATTATCTGGCTAAAGTTGTATGATACGATTCCTGACTATTTAAATGAAAAAAATCATTGTACTGGTAATCAAAATTATAATTTACGTTCCCACAATTAAACTCTGAAAGGGGAGGGGTATGGTTAGGATCTAAAAAATATTCTGATTCCCAACTTCAAAGGAAAAAAAATGTTTTGATCAGTGAGGAGGACTAGCAAGTTTCTGATTGAGAGTTTTGCAATTAAATATAATGATAAGTTCTGAAAAACAATTCGCGACAAAAAAGTAAATAATTTGATGCTTGCGTGGTACGCAAAATGATTTCAAAATGAACCCCCCCCTCCCTTCAAAATTAAATGGTCGTTCCCTTACGAAAAATCTGCTACATATACCAAAACCGAAAACCTTCTTTTCGAAGGAACATTTTTACAGTTTGTTCTTATTGTACGCTGTTTCAATACTTTCCAGGGTAAGGGGGATTGAGCGCCCACAAACATGTTTAACCTCGCCACATTCTGACATTCATATGTGCTCCCAAGTCAGGAGCCTTTTCGTCTGCCAAATTTGTTTTTCGTAATTTTTAAGCATAAATCTTGCCTTTGGTTTTCCATTATGAATTTTACAAAGTTTGTCATTCTTGGGCCTTTTATCGGTTACTACACAGTATATGTTTTGCCTAATGATGAAGACGTTACGGTCACCTATAGTTGGTTATAAACGAAAACATATTTATAAATGTGATATTTCCATTTTTTCGGGATGTTCCATACACACATTAACAAATTTATCATGAATTTTTATGTGACTGCAAAAATTTAAAACTATCAGATAAAATATAACTCAATCTCGATCGGCTTGAATGGTTATTAAAGTAATGATTTGTATTATCTTCCATACCTTAAAAAACTCCATTTCCCAGTTAAAATGGTTTCCTCAACTTCCGCATCAAATCTGACTCTGCGGACATCATTATCCATGTCACACACCTAATCTATTAACATGACTGGACTTACCGACATTTAAAAACCCCTTTTGTTTCTTAACAAGTGTCGTCTTTTATTAAAAGGTCAAATTTAAATTTCATCAACATTTCAAGTTATTTAATTCATTGAACACTAATTTGCTTAATCGGTATATATCGCAGTCCCATCGCACAAGTGCACTTTTTTAAAATTAAGTATTAAAGTTCAACAGAAATTTTAAAACCCTACCTGTTTATTTGAGATCTTTGAGGCCTTTAGTAGTGCTTGTTATGGACTGAAGCCAAAACCTCTTTGCACTTCATAGTAACATGCAATTTTGCATAAAGTAATAATGCTTAATCAAATACCTAATATTTGATCTTTACATAAGCTAAATATTTTCTCATGTATAAGTATTTTATTGTTTGAATTTCACTCCTTTCATCAGAAGAAGGATGATAATAACAAGCTTTACTTTTCAAATTATTTCACCTGACAATGTGTGATTATCAGAGTTTTCTTTAAAGCATTTCTGTTAGTTCATTATTTTGATTTCTGAAAAACAAAGCAACCATATTTGATCAATTTCATTGTTATTCAAATTGTTTAAAATAAAATGCATAGGACGTGCGTAAAGCTATCTTATCTGTAATACAACTTAAACGTCATTCCTTACAAGATTATTAAGGCAACGGTAATACGGACCAAAACAGTTATAGAAGATAAATAGATAGCACCGAATCAATAATAATGTTATATTAAATCTGTCGTGCTTAATCAAGATAAAACTGATTATTTCATTAACACATGGATGGTTACATTATGATTCCAAAATATTTTGTACCAAATACTGTGACATTTGGCGACTCTTTTGAGAGATGTGGACCTTTTTAACAATGCTATACAATGGCTTTTGTAAGTGTTGCTTACGAACCGGCTTGATAAAGATTTACATTGGAGACTATCAATATCAAAACGAAGCTTTTATAATTGTTTGAAACATCCTTTTTTTTATCATAAGTTCACTGTTGAAATGTGATTTCGAATTCACTTTTTACAATAGGAAGGGGCCTTTGAATAATTGAAAACAATTTACCATTCAAATTGTTTTTGAAATAAGCACGTTTAATCTTATTTCATTCGGTTCTCACCTTGCAAGAAATGTCATTGTGGTCGTATCTTGCAATATTTTAACGTAAAGTTTGTGCTCATATTCTGGTTTCAGATACAGAGGTAACATTCTTTAGAATTGCGATAGAAAAAGAAGGTAAATCATGTCCATAGGCAGTTAGAATACGAAGCACACAAAGACATTGATTTTTTTTTAATTTGTTACTGACATAGATTGATATTAACATACACTGAAAAAGTTTAAAAGCATGATGATGGTAGTTTTTAACGACCTTGACTGGCTTTACAGCCCTCGCACGGTCGGTTTAAAAGCATTTTGCTAGCTGTAAGTATTATACTCCCTCCCCAACCCCTACTGAAAAGCCCGCTATAGGAATCTGATCATCATTGTCAATGAGCTGTTAAATTGTCTGTAAGATCTACACATGTATTTGAATGATGACTATAATTACATGTGAACACTGTTTTAAGAATAAAAGGAGATGTAGGATATAGGTCCACCAGACAGCAACACACAACACAAACAAGTCTCTTGCATTTATAAATCAATACTTTCATATACAAAGAAATTAGAGAACAACTAGTACAAATGTTGTAACAATTAACAACTTGTTTACTAATACGCATCAATTTCAATAAGCAAGTTTCTTCACAGTATTTATCAATGTTGGATAACTTTCTATTGAATGTGATAATATTAAAATTAAGAGTAAATCAAATGTGAAATATTTAGGTATCATTTTTTTATCTGGTGAACAAGTTGTTGACAATATTATAAAGAAGGCTAATCAGCGACTTAAATTTTTATATAGATATAAAGAATGTTTGTCTCAACAATCTAGAAAAACATTGTGTTCTGCATTTATACAATGCCATCTTGATTATGCATGTGCTTGTTGATATGAAGGCTTATCCAAAAAACTTAAAGACAAGCTTCAAGTTATTCAAAATAAAGTTATACGGTTTATATTATATCTTCCTTAGAGAAGACGAATCACTGTAAATGAATTTGAAAAATTGGGATTATTAAATTTTTGCAACAGAGTGAAACAATTTCGTCTGAATCATGTTTAATGTTTTTCACAACAAATGTCCAGAATACTTAAAAAGTGTTTTTTCAAGAACTTCTTCGAATAGGAATACTAGAACAACTACTTACAATTTTTATGTTCCAAATGGCAAAGGTGTAGAATCTTCTTCTCTCTGTTATAGAGGTTTTAAAAACTGGAATGCTTTGCCAGATTATGTAAAAGGTATTTCATGTGAACTCAAAAATAAAATTTAAGTATGAAGTAAAACAACACCTAATGAGTAAACTCAGGTCAATGTCAGATGCGGATTTTATATTTTATTAGATTGCTTTTTATACGAATGTTTTAAGCTGTGATTCATGGATACTATTTATTGCTGTAATATTGAATGATAAATTATTTATTTTATTATCAAGACTATAAGGACCCCATTGGAAATAAGCTTGTTTGCTTTCATGGGTAATCCTTGGGTTAAGGCATTAGAGGTACCTATATCACAACCATTGCTATATTTTAAGGTTGTATTATGTATTTGTATATATTGCCTTTACCTGTATAAATATTATTATTATTATTTAACAACATGATTTCCTTACTCCCCAACTGAAAATTGTGGTTTGCAGTACAGTAGACATATGGTTTTAGACTCGGAAATCTTTTACATTCGCAGACAAGATCCATATGAAAAAGTAAACGTAGAGGTAAAATTATGTCAATGAAACAGTAACCCCACAACACAAACACCTTTTGGAACCATATACTCAATAGGCTTTTTTTTATCAAAACGATAGATCCAAACGACTGTTAATATCGATAGTAAAGAAAGTTTGAGTACTTATAAAACTAGTTTAAAACGATTCATTTCTCCATGAGAAATGCCACTGTTATTGGACTGTTCGTCCCTGAATGAATCATCTCTGCTAGATTGACTCCACTCCACTTGAGCGATACCACCTCTAATGGAATGTTCGTCCGTGAAGGTATCATGCATGTCAGATTTACTTCCAATGAAGTGATACAACTTCTGATGGACTGTTCGTCCCTGAAGGTTTTTCTCCATGTCATATTTACTTCCACTTGAGCGATACCACTTCTAATGGACTGTTCGTCCCTGAAGGTATCATCCATGTCAGATTTACTTCCAATGGAGTGATACAACTTCTGATGGACTGTTCGTCCCTGAAGGTAACATCCATGTCAGATTTATTTCGAATGGAGTGATACCACTTCTGATGGACTGTTCGTCCCTGAAGGTATCATCTATGTCAGATTAATTTCCACTAGAGTGGTGATATCAATTCTGATGGACTATTAATCAATGTCAGATTTACTGCCACTTGAGCCATACCACTTCTAATGGACTATTCGTCCATGAAGGTATCATCTATGTCAGCTTTACTTCCGCTTGATTGATACTAATTCTGATGATTTGTCCGTCCCGGAAAGTATCATCTATTTCAGATATACATCCACTTGAGCAATACCACTTCTGATGGACTGTTTGTCCCTGAAGGTATTATCCACGCCAGATTCACATCCACTGGGGTGATACCAATTCTGATACACTGTTCATCCCTGAAGGTATCATTCATGTCAGATTGACAACCACTGGAGTGGTACCCATTCTGATGGATTTTTCATCTCTGAAGGTATCGTCCTTGCCAGATTATTCTACTTGAACGATACTACTTCTGATGGACTGTTCGTCCCTTAAGGTATCATTCATGTAACTTCCATTGGAGTGATACCACAAATGAAGGACTGTTCATCCCTGAAGGTATCGTCCTTGTCAGATTCACATCCACATGGAGTGGTACCAATTCTGATGGACAGTTCGTCCCTGAAGGTATCATTCATGATTTACTTCCACTGAAGCGATATCACTTCCGATTGACTGTTCGGCCATGAAGGTTTCATCCTGCATCATCGACATTGGTCATGATTAAATACGTACATATACATAAATTATCTGCGTATAATAATGTTAATGAATATGCTACAGTAACGATTTCTTCGCGCAAATTTATGACATCTAGAGGACAACAAATATAGAGATATATTGTGGAAGTATGACTCCATCAATAGGAATTTGATAAATAGTGGTATTCTCCACGATAGTATTTTTGGTGTTAAACAGCACTTCGCTTACTTGTAGTTTGAAGCAAGACTAAAACGTTTCTTTTATATTTTCGGTATTGAATGTCTGTAAATGATGGTTTATTCCTGTACTGTTCGTGTAGCAAAAAATCTAATGACGTTCTTTGAATTTCCAATCAGCGAAAAAAGAAATTGTAACCACCGCAACAGATAAAGTTGCCTGTACCAAGTCAGGAATATGACAATCGCTTTCCATTTGTTTGATGTGTTTGATCTTTTGATTTTGCCATTTGATAAGGGACTTTCCGTTTTTTTAATTTTCCTTTGAGTTCGGTTTTTTTGTTATTTTACTTTTTACACCCAGTTTCATAGAAAGATCAATATATCAAATAGACATTTTTGTTTGTTTGAAAAAAACGTATTGATTGATTGTTTGTTATTTGCTTAACGTTCAGTGGCAAATGTTTCATGTATATACAGGACGAGAATAAAATAACAATTGATACGATAAGTAGGTTCTGAAAGGTAAGGCGACCGAGATAAAGCGTGGTCAATTTGGACTTTCACTGAAAAATGAAGATATAATGGAGAGGGGCAGACATATTCCAGCAACTGGCTACCTACGGACCCCTCAAAGAGTTGTTGCTAGGGTTCTGTAACGTGCAGAGATCGTGACATTCTCCTTTCTTGCCGACCGGACGTGGCTGCGTATTTATGCATCCCACACAGCCAAGACAAAATGATGCCTATATCCAGCATACTTTCATTTTCAAATAGAGGTCTATATTTCCCGCCCTTCATCTCGGACGACTTCCCTTGCCAAACCTACCTATCGTTTTTACTGTTAATTTGTTTTCGTCCAAATATTTACCATAAAAAGTAAAGGAGACAACAAACAATAAATCAATACAAGTTTATCAAACAATGATTTAAACCACTCGGCCAATTAGGTTAGTTAAATATAACTTCCATTAGTTGAGTGATGACTTTTTTCTTCGATTTTATGTAGGGTTGTAACACAGTACATGATGTATTGTAGCATGCACATGGAATGTTATAGGTTAAAATTTTAGATAAAGCCGACGATGTAAGGCATCACTCGATTAACGAAAGCTACTTTTAACAATTTAAAATTAGTAGTTGCTGCTTTTCCACTCAGCAACCGGAATTTATGAATTAAGGGTAATATTTTTTCCTGTGGACTCTTATCCTGCGAATTAGCTCGTCAAAATCTGGTTCAGTGTGTCGGGTCTTGTACACAGGAATGTGATGTATAGTCTTGATGTGATGTGATATTTGCCACTGGGCGGTAAACGCTACATCGTCAGCATCATCATACAGACAGTACCACGTTCTCTTTCAAACAAATATTGTTTCGAAACTTATAAAACTCACTACAATATGTAGAGTAGATGGGTTTATTGGTATGGAAGTAGCATTCTGCAATTTGCGATCCTTCATTGGTTTGAAGATAAAATTGAGAATGGAAATGGGGAATGTGTCAAAGAGACAACAACCCGACCACAGAACAGACAACAGCAGAAGGCCACCAACAGGTCTTCAATGCAGCGAGAAATTCCCGCACCCGGAGGCGTCCTTCAGCTGGCCCCTAAACAAATATATATACTAGTTCAGTGATAATGAACGCCATACTAAACTCCAAATTGTACACAAGAAACTAAAATTAAAAATAATACAAGACTAACAAAGGCTAGAGGCTCCTGACTTGGGACAGGCGCAAAAATGCGGCGGGGTTAAACATGTTTATGAGATCTCAACCCTCCCCCTATACCTCTAGCCAATGTAGAAAAGTAAACGCATAACAATACGCACATTAAAATTCAGTTCAAGAGAAGTCCGAGTCTGATGTCAGAAGATGTAACCAAAGAAAATAAACAAAATGACAATAATACATAAATAACAACAGACTACTAGCAGTTAACTGACATGCCAGCTCCAGACTTCAATTAAACTGATTGAAAGATTATGTCTTCATCATATGAATATCAGGCACAATCCTTCCCGTTAGGGGTTTAGTATCATACCATCATAACATATATGAGAAGAACATAACCCGTGTCATGCCAACAACTGGTTTTTAAGATACATTTTTTTAGACAAGATGTTTGAAATCTGGTCATCAGTATGCTCAAATGAAAAATGAATTAGAGACAAGTTTTTCGTATTGGGAACTTACAATGATTGTATATCTCAACTGCATGATAATCAATCTTTTTTTTTTAATTTTCGCTTCAAACCATAAATAATTTAAAGCCATTTTCTTGTTGTTTCGGTATTTGTTGTCGGCGCAAACACGACGTGATTTCGACACACACGTTGATGTTGACAAAACTTGCACAGAAAAATAACATTAACAGGGTTTTTTTTTAATTTGAAGCTCAACCTTAATCTACGAGTGCTTCGTACATAGAAACGTCTGCAGTGCTGTTCTTTAATGGAAGTTATAGTCACGTTATTATAATCGATCAATTACTTCTCAAACTTTCTTGTATGTAACAAGAAAAAAGATAATGCGAAAATGAGATTTTAATTATAGCATCAGTTGCTTATAAATACGTAACATACCGGAAATATAATAAATAAACAACCGCTTGATTGCAAATCCTTTAACATTCAATTTCATTAGGAGGTGAAAAATGAACTTAGTTATTATTTGTATGAATGAATACTAATGTACCATCACACAAAATCTTCTCACTTTGATAATTTTTTCAACTGTTGCCACATGTTATAAAATAAATTGGTTATCGTGAGAAAAAAAAATGTGTTACTGTCTTATCATCTCGAAATCAAATAAATTATGAAATTACAATGATATTCTTATCAAACTAAAATTACATTGGTCTGTTTCGATTACATCATGTAAAATACAACATTATACAAGCAAAATCAATTTCAAATCTCTATCAACAGTTTATATTATTTTTTAAAGGTGTACATGTGATTTTATCAAAATTCACATTATAAGTGCACTTTTAAGACTATCTTGTTTATATTTTATTTCTATTGCCTCTTGCCGATCTTGGCGTTATCACAGTTTTGATATCTTCTCAGAATGACCAACCTTTTTCTTGAGGAGGTTTATTGAGTGGAGCGGGAGGGTTAAACTTAACGTTAGCATTATGCGAACGATTCAGAACTCCGTTCATCCATGGCATCGATCGTGGTGGAGACATGATTCGAGTGGTCCGTTTGTTCTTATCTCGACTTCGATTATTCCAATATGAAGCTCTTGATCCACTTCCAACATTTTCAAGCATAAGTAAGCGTTGTTCCATCTTTTGCAAGCGTTCTTCGTCTGCAGATTGTTTTTCTGTCAAAGCATTTATTTGATACTGTTGATGTGCTTTTTCTTTCATCAGTTGTTCTATCTGATCTTGCTGTTCTTTCCTATCGTCTACACTTTCGTCATGTAATACTTCTAACTTCATTATCTGAATTTTCTGTCGTTCGTTTTCCTCCTCTATTTCATGTATTTTTTGAAGCTGGGTATTGAGTTCTATCTCCTTTCGCTCAAGTTCTTGCTGTTGTACTTCAAATTTCTTTCTCAAGTTTTCGAGTTCCTGATTCCGTTTGTTCAATTCTTCTTTTGACTTTTGGTCACATTTATCGTTAGCGCGCAACTTTTTATTCTCTAGCTGCAGGTTAATAATCTGTTGTTGAAAAATGTTTAACTTTTCAATCAGTGTCCGATTTGTTTTTCGTAATCTCTCATTTTCCTCTTTCAGTTTGTTTAACTCTTCAATTGAAGAAGCGTTTGGTTGCTCGTCCTTAGATTTTGTTATTCTCTGAAAAAGATCAGCTATTGTAGGTGCAATTCTTACCAGTTCTTTTTCCAGTGTAGTTAAATCGGCTACTGTATTTGTTGTTTCTCCAGATTCCAGAGCCGTTCTGACAGCGTAAACAGCATTCGCCGTGTCGTTGTTAGGTATGCTCATTACAGAGGCTTGTCGAATAAGACTTGTTGGAGTCGTCAGTAAGTTTGGCGTTGTTGTACCACCTTCATTTGTTGAAGCCGGAAGTTGTCGTAAAATATCTGGTACTGGTGGTTTTATTTTCTTCTCTCCCGTCTCCCCATCTTTTGAGCTTATTCCTGTACCACCACTCTTAATAATAAAACAAATGTGTATTTTAAAATAATATTTATCATAGATTAAACATTGTTATATTCGATTTCATGCAGACGTTTGTGGAAGCCAGACATATTATTATATTTTCTTACATTTTTATTCTTTTTGTTTTTCCAACCAGTTGTTGATTTGAAGATTACAGATATTTTGAAAACTTAGAATTTCCTGTGATATGCCACGGTTTATATTGGATCTGTGTGTGAATGGATATCAAGCATTCTCATGAAAACCAAAAAATAAAAAAGGGTCCACAAAATCTAAATGTCATTGTATGGAACAACGGAAACTTATAAGTTGTTGCACAATAAGTACCTATCTCAAAAAAGTAACGAGGAGAAAACTCCCATATGTAAGTTATATCCCAGTTAAAATGTTTTTATCAAATAGATGAATGTAAAACATTGTTTATATATGAAATAGATACCATGCTTGAATTTGCTGATATTGGCCTCTGATCTTCCGTCTCAGCCTGTGATACAGAATCTGCAAGGGAAAACATAAACTATTAACACATATATTGTTACCCGGTTTAATCCACCATTTTATACATAAGAAAATGCCTGTACCAAGTCAAAATATGACAGTTGTTTTCCATTCGTTTGATGTGTTTGAGCTTTTGATTTTGCCATTTGATTGGGGACTTTCCGTTTTGAATTTTCCTTGGAGTTCGGTATTTTTGTTATTTTACATTTTGTATATTTGCGGAGGTTGTTCAACATTCCATAAGTCATTACAAGTTTTGTGATTTGAAACTGACTCTCTCGTCTCACATGTTCAAAATTGAAAATTCACCTTAAACAAAGAATTCTTTAGTCCCCAGCAGAATAGAATGAGAAAACATAGAAACAAATATGACCAAAAGAAGTCGCTACAGAAATTGACATGGTTTCTAGTGTGCTTTATAGGATTAAGTACGAAGACATATATACATCAAATCTGAGAGGCTTTGAAATCAACATTACGTCACAGACATAAAGATTTAATAAACAGCAACACTAATTGAACAACTTAGATTCTTTCCACTTGATTCTTATGAAATTCCCTATTTTATGAGATCATAGTGCACAATTGACAAGATAATAACCGTACAAGATGAACTAGCAACAAAACATAAACAACATACTTTACAATGACTATTGAAAATGAGTTAGGCCTCACGGTGACTTTGAGATGAAGAACAGCAACAAATTGTTTTTTTTTCTTTTTGCTGTGCATGTACTGATTTTGTGTCATTGATGGATACCCCATATCTTTTGTTTTTCTATTATAATCTTACCCGACATATAATCTTGATCAGATATTCCTAACTTTTCCATGACTTCGGCATATCTGTTTGACGGATCACTCTTCATCAGTTTACAGAATGTTTTGTAACCTTTTATACCTGACCGTATTAAAGCACTCAAAAACTTTTCAGCTTTCATGAACTTCGTATTTGGTTGAACTGTTAATATCATTTCTTTGGTTTCAGCATCGAATCTTCCTGCTTTGAACAACCCTTCTGTCAACTCTTCAACCCGCAGTTCGTGCTTTAAGAAAGTCCAATTTCTCCAAAGTTTTCTTTCATCATCGTCAATCATGGGTTCTACTTTCTTTTCTTCCATTTTCACAAATTTGTTGATATCAAAGTTTCACCTATCTACAATATTTACAAGGTTGGTATATTTAACAAACTGCTTTGGTTAGTTTAAACTTCAAACATTTCTCACAAATCTTCAATGCCAGAATAAAGTTCTGATGGAAGCTTTATATTTTGATAGCAAAGGTCAGCGGTATGCGTGTAATACAGCTCATTTTACAAAAACCTAAAGGTGCCTCGGAGGTTCACCAATATTTTGTTTAAATCATATTGGTTTTGTTATCAGACAATCTTTTGACCATTATTCTCTTAATGCTCTATTGCTTTAAACCTGACAAACGTGATACAATTGTGGTCAACAATTAAAAGAACAAATATACAATATATATTCAATAGATTTTTATCCTTAGCATTCATTAGCGTCCCTATTTGAATCTTATTAATAATTTTATTACTCAAATGAACCAAAAGTAAAGTTATCAATTAGAAATAACTTGTATTCAATATACTGAAAATATTTAAATTGCAATCTTAATACGACTTCCTCGTTATCAAATTAGAGGCTATGAAATAATTGCTTCAGACATAAAACGAATCACTTAAAGACGGTCATATTGTTTTTTATACACATGACTTTAAAACACAAAACGAATCTTGTTTTACTGGTTTTTTTTTATAATTTTTATGATACACACATAATATTCCTTTGTGATTTATTTGCTATTACAGTTTGCTGTGCATTCAGACCCAGAACCCGGACAAATCTAAGATTGGTAACTAACTATAAAAGAAAAGAACTTTAGGGAAAAGTAATTATTTTATAGTTTCTGATACGCTATCCTGATTAACATATTTGTATTAGACATCTTGTAGTGAAATATGTCTTTTGGGAAAGCGATCATAGCTTATATATAAATATTAATGACACGACCTCATTTAAGGCTATTTCAACAATTCTTCGAGTTTTGCATTAAATGCAAGAAGTTGGAAGACGTGAAGAAACTTAAAAAATATAAACAATGATATATCAGTGACAGGTAAATATCAGAAGGATATTATTTAATAAATTTCTGATACTTTTTGATTATGGAATTCAAAGGGAGTAAAACGATGTCTTATCATACCTTCTCTTTTGATCACTTAAATAGTTATGCTCCCCTTTCTTATGAGTCTTAACAACATTTGATTTATACTATTAAATAATAAGTAATAAATTTTTTGACGGGAAAAATTGAACTTTCATTTAGATTATACAAAGACATTTTAACTGAGGGTTTTGTTGAATTGAAATACGCTGCACCACATTTGGATATTAGAGACACATTGATTGTCAAGGACATGTTTATAACCCCTCAAAAAAGAGTTCATGAGATATTTCAGTATGGGTGGAAATTACATTGTAATTTCTCCCGTAATATGTTCGTCCTCTTCCAATCCTCTGATATATAGACATACAATTTAAAAGACCAGACGAGTGTTACTAGCACATAGATCATTTGCGTCAACTTCTAATGATAATGTTTTGTAAATCTGGAAATTGCTGAAATTGAGAACTTAAAAGAATAGATTTTAATAACTTTATCAAACTTAAGGCTACTTGACGCTCGTCCGGCCTTTTAAATTGTGTTGTCGGAAGATTTTAATAGGTTCTGTTTAATTTATTCAGAGATTGACCTGTTTACTATCGAATGTTTTTGGTTGCTGTTGTCGTTTGGTTGCTTTACCATTAACGTATACTGGACGTGTTCTTCTATTCATATTCTGTAGTTCTTTTCCATTCAACGTAACTAGTATCACAAATATCTTATTCGTGGTGATGAAGATTTCGACATATCGAAAAGTAAGCACTAAAACTACTTCCACTACCATGAATCATCCCAATGTTTAAGTATGTTTTGTAGAATAAAGGTGTCGTCTTTTTTCATCATAGACGTTAACTACGAAATGAAACAGTGGCAGCATATATCTTCATCGATTATACAAGTACATCATAGGTTACTAATAAGCATGAATCCATATCGCAAGTCACCAGACCAGACATTTTTGTCAGAATTAACTATAAACACGAGTGTTTTACTAACTGATGTACAATCATGTTTTTAACTAAAATGGACTTAATGTGACAGACACAATTTGATGCTTTATATTACCATAGTAAAAATGCATTTCTATACAGCTAAATCATCTGAAGCCAGACATTCTATCAACATACTATTGTTTCTGTTCTTTTGTAATTATTCTTACGTTTCTACTGAACTAAAATAATTGGGTTTTAACATTAACATTGACAAATCTTAGATAACTCAATGTTGTCTTCTGTAAAATATCAGAGTGAACGAAGAAAAAAGCTCTTTGAGGAAGATATTTATCGAATGCTGGAGTTTTTAATCCAAGCACATTTTTTACAACAGAGGACGAAAAAAAGGAAAGTACTCCGTACTATAGACGGTATGCTCTATTTAAAAAGTTGTATTTAAAGACAAATTACATCTGTTTAACAAGCCCAGAGAATGAAATGTTAAATAGGTAATATTTACTGCTAAAATGTCAAATCAGTGAATGTATGTATGGTTTATTCACCTTAACCCAAAAATTTCGAATACTTACAATGATAACAACTACATTCTTTAATTCTTTTGACTTTTTTTTTATTAAATCCACGCTTGCGTTGGTAACTCTCTTGTATAGAATAAAAAAAGCCTTAAAGGAAAAGCTAAAATCGGTGCAAGGCAAACTTTCAAGGGAGTTGAATCATTTAAGTTTTAAAAAATCTGAAACATTTTAATTGAAAATTAAAAAATGTTTAGAATACATCTTGGCCAGTTTTGAAATTCTGCGGGACTACTGGTAGAATGAACCCGTCGGGGACGAACAGTATACAAGCATTAATATCCACAGTAAATAAAAAAAAAATGTTTGTTGCGTTTGGAACACTTTTTGAATTAAAAGTCTCCAGAAACGAGAATTATAGCACTATAAGTAGTAGGGAAACGCGCTTTGAAATCCGAATGACCATTACAGAATTACATTTATTAACGTATATTTATATATTTTTACGTCTATATGAATATTGCTACAATATATTAACAATCATAGATGAAATATATTAACAATCATAGATGAACACAGAGGTCCTGGCTTCTGAATCGGTTAACAACTGTTGCCTAACTTTATTTATTGATAGCTAATGAATCTAATGAATCTAATGAACCGAATCAAACAAGAAGAATGTAATCTGACACATTTTAAAAAATTTGTTTCAATGTTTAATAAAATGTCAAAACAAATTCTGGTCGGTTTGTAATTTAAAGATTTTCTCTTTCTCTGTTTATAAACCCCTCTTATAAATTACAACTATAATCTATACAACATTACAGCTATCATTACGGGTATTGCCCATCACAGATCTGTCAGACTTGTTCAAACTGAAAAATATTTCAAGCTAAAATGTTTTTATCTTAAACTATTTGTTGCCATCAAAGATCTTGGTTGTTATAAATATAAGCAACATAATCTAAATTTCTCCCTTTTTCAAAGATCATACTATTCCAGTTATATCATACTTGACAGAGAAGACGAAGTTACTCTTTCAAAGCCCACTTCTCTAATGAGAAAGTTAAATATGTTAGATATACTTACTGGAGGTGTGATGAGATGATTGAAGCTGTTAAAAAAGAGGGAGGAAAGATACCAGAGGGACAGTCAAACTCATAGATCGAAAACAAACTGACAACGCCATGGCCAAAATTAAAAAGACAAACAGACAAATAATAGTACAGATGACACAACATAAAAAACAATAAAGACTTAGCAACACGAACCCCACCAAAAACTGGGGGTGATCTCAGGTACTCCGGAAGGGTAAGCAGATCCTGCTCCACATGTGGCACCCGTCGTGTTGCTTATGTTATTACAAATGCGGTAAATAGTCTAGTTCGGTAGGTCACATTCGTGAAAAGGGAAGGGTATTGTAATTACGACATAAGGAACATATCCGATATCATCTACGAAACGGTTATTCCATAACGGTCAACCAACTTGTGATGGCGTCCGTAAAATTTACGAAGGGATGATTTCAACTTCACCATTTGGAACTCTTGGTTTAATAGCTTCCTTGTGAGCAGCAATCCTCTATCAAGGAAATCATGATAGGAAATACAAGCCCGGGAATATCGTATCAATTGGGAGATATATACTCCGTATGCAGGCGCTGCTGGAATGTTGCTACATAGAAATGGAAAGTTCACAAGTGGGAAGCTGAAATCATCTCTTTTGTCGTAAAGTTTTGTTTTCAACCGACCCTCATTGTCAATTTCTATATGTAAGTCAAGATATGAGGCAGACTTGACTGTATCTATAGTATCCTTTATCTCTAGTTCGATGGGATAGATTCGTTCAACATAGTCACCAAATTTTGTATTATTTAGTGAGAGAACAACATCTATACAGCGGAACGTAAAGTTAAAGGATATTGCTAACTTTTTATCTTTCTTCCTAAGAAGTTCCTGTATGAAGTCAGCCTCATAATAATAAAGAAACATCTAATTAGTTAATTTTCACCTTGATAACCTTTATGTACGTTTCGGCAATACAGTTTATCGACAGGTTGTAGGTATTCCTATGATCACCAATTGCGCCACTTTAATAGCAGACTTATTCTTGTATTGTTATGAATCACATTTATGACCAAACACATTAAAGATCCGTTTAAATTGCGTTTAATTGATAAATTCAACAACATTTACTGTTATCTTGGTGATATGTTTTCGTTAAATAATCAAGAACTGTCTAAATATACTGCCGAAATTTACCCAAAGGAATTTACTTTCAATAAATCAAATTTAAATGGTAATAACTGTCCTTTCTTAGAATAAGATATTTCAGATTTACATGGGAAACTCTACACAAAATTACATCCCGCCAATGTGTCATTGTGCTATGGTCATTTTTTGTATTCTTGTCTTTCATTTTTGCTAATGTGCTTTGTCTATAGAGTGTCTTTATGCCATTTTGTTTTTCTTTGTTGAAAAGGTTATTTGTTTTTATAGTGATTAAGAGTATAACACAATGTTGACTACTGTACCCAATTTTTTTACATTTTTACCTATTATGTCTGTTTGTTTTGCTCACACATTGTTGTCAATATAATGAAATTCTATGC